CATCTGCCATCCTCGCTCAAGGACTTGTGGGCAGACTACGTCTGCTTGCTGAATTGCTACGGTCCTTCGGAATGTGCTATTGCTACGCACATCGTCCGCATGACCAAGACATCTGACGTGACCATTGGGAAGCCCATCTCAAACGCATCGTGCCACATTCTCGATGCGGCGATGCGGCATGTTCCTCTTGGAGTCGTCGGCGAGATATATTTGGGTGGGGTGGGGGTGTCACCAGGGTACATCAATTTGCCAGAGCTGACTCGAGATCGATTTCTGAAGGATCCGTTTACGAATGATTCTGGGATGATGTATCGAACGGGAGACTTGGGCCGACTTTTGCCCAACGGCCAGTTTGAAATCCTCGGTCGCATGGACAGCCAGGTCAAGTTGAAGGGGTACCGCATCGAGTTGGACGAAGTGGCCAATGCGATGATGCACCACCCTGAGATAGTGTCGGCCGCGGTCGTCGTCAAGGACAAGTCCCATCTCGTCGGGTATTTCACGCCCGCCACCGTCAATGTCGAAGGCTTGCGGCAAACGGTGGCCGACCTATTGCCCGTGTATATGGTGCCTGCGATGTGGGTTGGTCTGGACATGCTGCCGCATAACTGCAATGGCAAAGTGGACAAGTTGGCACTGGCGGGGTTGGAGGCTACCTTGACCATGGAGCCCATGCAGACTGAGCTGGAGATTGAACTGGCAGCCATCATCTCAACAGTTCTCAAGGTCAACCAGAGTGAGATCGGCCGACACTCGTCGTTCGTGGCGCTGGGGGGCGATTCCATCACGGCCATTTACCTCGCAGCTGCGTTGAAGCAACGTGGATGGCGTGTATCTGTGCGTGACATCCTCGCGTCTGGGCGCTTGTGTGACCTTGCAACCGAAGCCAAGAGCCAGCCCCCTCTGCACCTTCCGGTGGTGTCAGACGTGGCACTCTCCACGGAAGTCATCCAGGAAATCATGTCGCACTGGCCTACCTATGAATCGGCATTTGCCACGACACCCGAGCAATCGTTTCTAGTACAATCGACCATCCGAATCCCGTCAAATTGGGTGCTTCAAGTGCCGTTTCTCGAATGGGGTGCCGCCAAGATGGCAGTCGCGTATGGCCAGTTGGCCGCGACATGCGAGACGTTGCGGACGACGTTTGTCAGCAACCCCATCGGAGTCTACCATGTCGTCAACCCAGCTACGTCGTCGTCTATCGAGTATTCTTCAGCCACTTCATTGAGTGAATTCTTGGCCACGGACAAAGCCCGAGGGTTTACACTGGCCGATCCGTCGTTTGCTCGGTTCACGGTGGTTACCTGTGGAGGCGATTCTGTGGGCGTTCTGACCATCCACCATGCCTTGTACGACGGCTGGTCCATTTCGCTGTTGCGATCGGATTTGTTCGATACGTACTCTGGCCACCCAGTGTCGCAGCGTCCGTCTTTTCGAGCGCTGATCCAACACCTGGCCAGTCACGACATGACGAAAACAGTAGCGTTTTGGGCCAATTACCTCGCGGGAGCACCACCGACGCCCTGTTTGTCCGACTTGGTGCCTCCAACATCGTGTCCTGAACCCAACGACCTGTCGCTGGCTACACACGCCGCCTTGCCTCGCCTTCCCTCGGTCATCCGGAGTCTTGGCGTGACCATGTCCACCGTGGTGCTCCTCAGTTGGGCCATGGCGCTGCAGCACCACACAAACCGACACGACATCGTGTTTGGGCAAGTGCTGGCCAACCGCAACCTCGACGTGCACGGGATCGACCAGTACGACCACCTCATTTGGGAGTTGACACTAACGTTTTGGGGAGTAGGATGCTCGGGTGCACTGTGAGCGAAGTGCCGTGTCGGGTTAAATTCGATACCGAGATGTCGATTGTGGAGCGACTGCAGCAGTTGCAAGCCAATCGAACGTCCATACAAGGGCATTGCATGATCAATTCCGACGACCACGCCACGTGGAGCCACGT